ACTGGTGCTCCCTCTGTCAGAAACCCCTTTGGATTGAGCCTTCCTCTCTACTCGGGCTGCAGAGGGGCTGCGAGGCACAGCCTGACCTCTGTCAAGGGCTCTAGTCTCCACCTTCAGTTACCCCCAGACTTCACTTGCTGTCACAAGCCTGTCCGCGGTGGGGAGTGGGAGGCTTGGAGCCCTGGGGGCTGGTTGCTCAGAGGACAGTGGGTGGCAGGGGGTGTGGTGATGATGACAGTGTAGAGGAGGGTATGGGGAGGAGACATGCAGGTGAGCTGTCCTGGGGCAGCAGGTGTGCAGTACTGGCTGGCGGACTGGCTCGACTGGGAGGGAGGCCATGCTGACTCCTGTAAAGTGGGAAGTAGGTATTTTATTCATGATTATGGCGGCCCATGGGTAAAAACTCATCAACCCTCCTATGTTAACATGTTTTCCTTATTGCAAAAGTAATGTTTATTCTTTTCAGAAAATTTAGAAAATAGGGACAGAAATAATTTAAGTTGGGAGTCCTAGGAAAGTGAAGAGCCTTTCGGCCAGCCTCTCCCTTCACTCACCGTGTGGGCGTGTGTGCATGGGGCGGTCCACCCTCCCTTAGGGAGTGTGCCCTGCACTGGGCACACAGAAGCCTCCCGTGGTCACACCTCTCCATGTGCTCACAACTGGGGCCTACAACGGAGGCTCCTGTGGAGTGGGTGGTTTGGAGAAGGTCCCAGAAGAGAGGGGCCCTCCCACCCTCTGCGGTGCCCCCACTGTAGGTGCATGGTGATGCCGCTGACTCTGACTGACAGGCAAAACGTCCACCAGCGGGAGCCGTGGGTAAAGGAGCCGAGACCCAGAGGTTTGGACAAGGGCTATTCTGGCAGGTGTTGCCCCTGCTGGGATGAAAGGTGGAGAAAGCACTGATGGTTGGTCCTGTGAAGTGGCTGGGAGTGGCCAGGGAGTTGGGAACCTGCCTTCTCACCCCTGTGGTGTGTGTACTGTCATGTTGGGAAGGGCAGGACCAGGTCAGTCCGGCTAGGAACTGGGAAGGGAGAGTGGCAGACTCAGCAGGGTCTTAGCGGCTGTGCATGTCTGCAAGGATGCATCTGAGTGGGGTGGGGGCAGGTTGCCAGGGCGTGTGCCCAATGTGGGTCTGGGGGGACCTGGGCTGGGCAGGTGCAGAGCAGCAGATGGTATCAGGAGGAGGCATCTGGACCTGATGTCTAGGGAGGAAGCAGGGTATGGGCAGGCAGGGTCTGCTAGAGGATGGGTCCCATCCAGAAGGGGCAGGCTGCTCGTGGCCAAGAACGGAGGAGTTCAGACCTCCTCTGCTGTTACATTAGCTGTGTGATGGAAGACAAGTTACTTAACATCTCTGTGCCTCTCTTCCTTCATCTGCAATGTGGGGTGATATGATAGCACTGACCTCAGAGGGAGGTTTCAGGGGATGGCACACACCCTTACTGGTGTCAGGTCCTGAGCAGCCCACGTGAAGCCTGGAGAGCACCACCCCTGGCTGTGAGTGTGTGTCTGCCTTGTCCTTGTTACTGACCGTTCCTCTTCCCCTTGGCGTGGGAGACACTCTGTGTTGCAGGGCTCAGCTTCTCCCCTGCACTGGGCAGGGCCTTGCCCTTTCCTCTGTCCCCAGGTCTGGGACACTGTAGGCTCGGGGTAGGCGTTCATTCGGTGGGAGTGGAGGAAGTCATCAGATTTCATACCAGATTTAAACTTTGGAAAGGAGTAGGAAAGTGTTGAGCAGCGGGATCTGTTTCTGGGGTCGTGGCTAGTTTTGAACCACGGCTGAGAGATAGGAGACAGTGTGGATTCCGCAGCCCGCATTCCAGATGCTCCAAATACCAGGACTTTTGGGCAGCGACAAGGCGCCACACACATGGCTGAGAAGGTGGCTTTCTGATGGTTCACTGTACACAAAATTTGTTTCATGCTCCAAACTATTAAAAATACTGTATAATCTTCAGAGAGCAGGCACTCACACCTGAGTGAAAGAAGTGTGCACGAAAAAAAAATACTGTATAAAAATCCCTTTAGGCTATGTCTAAGGCATCTATGAAACATAAATGAATTCATGCTTACACCTGGGTCCTGTTCCCAAGACATATCATTATGAATATGCAGATATTCTAAAACTAGAGAAAAAAAAAAACCCAAGTCTGAAACACTTCAGGTCCTAAGCACTGGGCTGGTGACTCCTGAAGAAAGCAGGGCTGCAGTATAGCGACCTACGGAAGCCAAGTCCCTGAGAGGCGGAGACGGCCCGGGACCCGCATGGCCCCAGTGGCAGCCCAGATGGCAGAGTGCAGGTTGGTGTTGAGGTTCAGCCCCCTGCAGCCTCTTTTGGATCTCACTGCCTGTTCTAGTTTTACTATTAGTTGATATGGTTTAAGAAAAAAATTAAACTATAGCCTGAACTTATAAAGGTGACTGTAGGTATTTTTATGAATTAGAAACAATTGAATTTTTAGGAGCAGAGAAGCACAACAGTGGGAGTCCAATAGAGACACTGAGGACCTCTCAGATGGCTGCTGGTCAGCCAGTCAGTGTTAAACCACACAGCTCTAGGGCTCCATGGAAACGGAGCACGTGAGCTACCTCGAGCCAGAAGCTGTTCCGTGCAAGTGTCCTGCTGGCCTGGACACCCTTTTCCTTCATCCCCAGTGAAGTACTTGTTCTCTGTGGCTGCTGAAACAAGTTCCCACAAGCCGAGTGGCCCAAAACAACTCAGATTTATTCCCCTGCTGCATGGGAGGTCTCATGTCCAAGATGAGCCTGACTGGGCTGAAGCCCAGCTGTGGGTAGGGCTGGGCCCCTCCAGAGCCTTCCGGGGAGGATCTGTTTCCTTTACTTGTTCACTGGCCTGGGCCTGGGCTTAGAGGCCTCCTGTCTCCCCTGACTTGACCCTGTGCATTCAGGGGCCCGCTGGAAGTCTCCCCACCTCTGCCATGGTGGCCTCTTTGGCCCTGGGAGGTGACATCCACAGGTTTGGAGATTAAGACATAGATGTGCTGAGGACTGTCAGCTTGCCCATCATACCCTTTAAGAAGATCCCAAAACATATTTTTGGGGTAACTTTAATGTATACCTTTTTGTTTGAGATAGAGTCTTACTGTCACCCTGGGTAGAGTGCTGTGGCATCATAGCTCACAGCAACCTCAAACTTTTGAACTCAAGAGGTCCTCTTGCCTCAGCCTTCCAAGTAGTTGGGACTACAGGCACCCACCACAATGCCCAGCTAGTTTTTCTATTTTTAGTAGAGATGGGGTATCGTTCTTGCTCAGGCTGGTCTCGAACTCTTAAGCTCAAGGGATGCACTCGCCTCATCCTCCCTGAGTGCTGGTATTAACAGGCATGAGCCTCCATACCCAACCAGCATATACATTTTTAATGATGACTATTAAATAGTTCAACACCCAGTCCTAATATTGAAATTATTAATATAGCACCAGTTAGTGAATAATGTAGTAATTTATAAATAAACTGTCCATTTTTCACTCTTACATATGCAACATTTTTATTTAAATATGCATCCTCTATATGTGTATGTCAATGTTATCATGAAGTGATTCTACTTTTGGAGTCACCTAATACAGTAATAGACTTTCTATTTGTTTAGTTCTTTGCTTTTTGTGTGTGTGCAAATTACTTTGAATTTGTCTATGATTCTGTCATTGAAAACTGTCCCAAGACATAGGAATCTCTTCTAACAACTTTCAAACAGTTACTTAAAAAAATATATGCTCTTTAAAGAAACAAACTCTCTTTTATATTTTGAACCTTCACAACATAATCACGCACTGTGTCGCTGTAAAGGGCCCCGTGCAGAGAAGACGTGTGGTAGGCCCACACTGTGCTGAGGGGACCTGTGAGTGCAGCTGGCCCTGGGGTGTGGGGAGGTGCCCACTGCCTCACTGATGGGTCCCCTTTGTGGGCAGCAGGTTACAGGAGCCTCTGCTGGCCCCCTGTGGGTCTGGAGTTTCAGCATGTGCCAGGCAGAGTGCTCATGCCACCCTGTGCTGAGTCTCCAGCCAGCTTCCCTGGGGACTGCACTTCACTGGGCAAGTATTCCAGAAGCTGGAGCTTGGTTTCCTCCGGACCTGCCCCAGAGCCTTTCCCTTTTCTGTCTGTGTGTCCATCCTTCCCCCCACAGCAGCCTTGGTCTGAGCTGTGCTGAGTCCTGGGCGTCCTCCCTGCAATCACTGGCCTGGCAGTAGCCTTGGGCATGCCAGCAGGCTTGTTTTCATTGCCAGCCAATCTTTTTAATTTTGAAGTCATACCTCTGTAATAATGTAATATTAAATGTTGGATTTCTTTGCTTTTTTGGTTGGTTTTCTCTTTTCTACTGAGTGTCCTCTGCAGTATTGGTTGAGATTGTTTCAGATTAATGCAATTTCCCCATATGGGAAAATAAATTGTGCAAAATAAATTCATTCTAGAGGGACGTGAGACGTCTCTGAGTATAAGGTGGCCTTCTCTTCTGACAGAAAACGTTTTGTAGAGGGGATCTGTGACCCAATAAGGGGTGGCCTTGGGGGTCTCCAGCAGCACGGATCTGGAGTTTCAGCATGTGCCAGGCAGAGGAGCAGGCCTTGCCGTCCAGCTCCAACTCTGCTGTCCTGTACATGGCACTTGGCAGCCTTTGTCTGGGTGTCCTCCCGTGTAGCCCCCAGGTCAGGCAAGAAGGGGCTCTCCCTGCAGGAGCACTGCACCGTCCGGATCAGATGACCATGCAGTCGCTGAGACGCTCTGCTTTGGAAGGAGGTTTCTGGGCAGACCGGACGTCCCCTGAGCCTGGCCATCCTGGGGAACCCGGGACTTCCCAGGGCTGGCTTCAATGATGAATGAGCAGAGAAATACCGGGTCCTTAACAATGGTCTTGTCTTTTCTCCTTTAGAGCGTCATTTCAAAACACAATCGGACCGCACCCCGAGTTCCCGGAGCGGCGGGCTGGACCATGCGCCCGGGGCGGGCAGCGCCTGGGGATGCAGCGGGCGGGCGAGCGGCGGCCCCCGCGCGTGCGCGGCGTGGAGCTGGCGCGGGGCCGCGCAGGCTACGGCTTCTCGCTGTCGGGCCAGGCGCCCTGCGCGCTCAGCGGTGTCCTGCGTGGGAGCCCCGCCGACCTCGTCGGCCTGCGTGCTGGAGACCAGATCCTGGCTGTCAATGATATTAACGTGAGAAAAGCGTCTCACGAGGACGTGGTGAAGTTGATCGGCAAGTGCTCCGGCGTCCTGCACATGGTGGTTGGAGAGGGCGCCGGTCACCTGGAGTCCTCCAGTGACGAGGAAGGCGCGCTCTATGAAGGGAAGGGCTGGCTGAAGCCCAAACTCGATTCTAAAGCATTAGGTATAAATCGAGCAGAGAGAGTCGTGGAGGAAATGCAGTCTGGTGGAATTTTCAATATGATTTTTGAAAATCCAAGCCTTTGTAAGGGCAGCTCAGAGCCCTTGAAATTGAAACAGAGATCCCTTTCGGAGTCAGCTGCTAGTCGCTGTGATGTTGGACATGAAAGTGTAAATAACCCAAATCCCCACGTGCTTTCTAAGGAGGAAGTATCCCAAGTTATTCATGATGATTCCGTTTTCAGTATTGGACTAGAAAATCATGATGATTTTGGGTTAGAGGCCAGTATTTTAAACGTGGCCATGGTGGTGGGCTATTTAGGTTCTATAGAACTTCCTTCCACGAGCTCCAGCCTGGAGTCAGACAGTCTGCAGGCCATCCGCGGCTGCATGCGGCGCCTGAGGGCAGAGCAGAAGATCCATTCCCTGGTGACCATGAAGATTGTGCAGGACTGTGTGCAGCTGTGCGCTGACAAGGCCGGGGTGGTGGCTGAGTACCCGGCCGAGAAGCTGGCCTTCAGTGCCATGTGTCCTGATGACAGGCGGTTTTTTGGGCTGGTGACCATGCAGACCAGCGATGATGGGAGCCTGGCCCAGGAGGAGGAAGGTGCCCTGCGGACGTCCTGCCACGTGTTTATGGTGGACCCGGACTTATTTAATCACAAGATCCACCAAGGCATCGCTCGGCGGTTTGGGTTTGAGTGCACAGCCGACCCCGACACCAATGGCTGTTTGGAGTTCCCTGCGTCCTCTCTCCCTGTCCTGCAATTCATCTCCGTCCTCTACCGAGACATGGGTGAGCTGATTGAAGGTGTGCGGGCCCGCGCCTTTCTGGATGGGGATGCTGACGCCCACCAGAACAACAGCACCAGCAGCAACAGTGACAGTGGCATCGGGAACTTCAACCAGGAGGAGAAGAGCAATCGGGTGCTGGTGGTTGACCTGGGTGGGAACTCCAGCAGGCATGGCCCTGGTGGTAGCACTATGTGGGAGGGTACTGGTGGGAGGGCCTCCCAGCCCTGGGGTGCCCCTTGGAATGGGGCCTTCTGCCACGACCCTGAGGGGAGCTCCCCACTTGAGGTCACTCCCCAGACTGACAGATTCTGGGACTCAAACAAGCACTTAGGACCAGCCTCTCACGTGGAGGTTCCCCCGGCCTCCTTGCGGAGCTCGGTTCCTCCTTCCAAGAGGGCTGCTGCAGGTGTTGGCGGAGGTTTCAACCAGCGATGGCTCCCAGTCCATGTGCTCCAGGAGTGGCAGTGTGGTCATGCCAGTGACCAAGAGTCTTACACAGATTCCACCGATGGGTGGTCCAGTGTCAACTGTGGCACACTGCCCCCTCCCATGAGCAAGATCCCGGCAGACCGGTACAGGGTGGAGGGCAGCTTTGCACAACCCCCACTGGGCTCCCAGAAGAGGGACTGGTCCAGGAAAGCATTTGGAATGCAAAACATTTTTGGTCCCCATCGAAATGTTCGAAAGACTAAAGAAGACAAAAAGGTAAGCCTGTTAGCAGTTGCTGAGCACAAATAAGCTTGACTTTATAACTTAGCCAGGGCTGATGCAATGACACCTTGGATTTTTTTTTTTTTTTTTAAGAGACAGAGTCTCATTTTGTCACCCTCGGTAGAGTGCTATGGCATCACAGCTCACAGCAGCCTCAAACTTGGGCTTAGGCGATTCTCTTGCCTCAGCCTCCCGAGAAGTTGGGACTGCAGATGCCCACCATAACACCTGGCTATTTTTTGTTGCAGTTTGGCCAGGGCCAGGTTCAAACCCACCACCCTCGGTATATGGAGCCGGCACCCTACTCACTGAGCCACAGGTGCCGCCAGTAGTGCACCTTTATTGCCAAATTCACCAGCCCAGCTTCCTCTGCCTGACCTTGTGGCCACTGTCCACTGTTACAGGACATCTGCTGTAACAGGAGCAGCAGGAGCCCTTGCCCCCAACTGTGCTGCAGTCTCCAGTATTGGCTGTGGCTTTGTCGGAGAATTTAGTGCAGTCCTCAGGCCAGGTGGCTTTATTCTAATTTTACTGATAAGATTTATGTTTGTGAAGAGTAAGTGACTGGCTCACAGTCTGGGGAAAGTTAGTGCTGAGAGGAAGCCAGACTGTGGGCTCCACATGTCCTTCTACAGGGGGACTGCTGTGGGATGGACACACCATTCATCTAGAATGAGCAGTGACATGGGTTTCACGGTGGCTGCTAGGTGTGCCGAGTGGGTGTTCCTGTGTACTAGCTCAGCCTGATCCTGCAGCCTCCCCATTGGAGCAGCAGAAGCTTCCAGAGCTTTGAGATACAGGATGGGGCTTGACATCCTTACTGGCAGGTTTGCTGGGCTTCGAAAGTGGCAGTGACCATCCACAGCAATTAGGGCTACAATGGCAGGATGAAGGGAGAAGAGGAAGAGGAGCTGGCAGTGGGCAGAGGGTGCCAGTGGCTGCAGCATGGCCAGGAGTCAGCTCCGTGTTGCTCTGGGCTCTCCGCAGTGGTGACACGGGCTTCTGTTCTTTGCTGGGCATGGACTCAGGCTGGCTCAGTCAGGCCCTGACCAGGAGACAGAAGCACAGCAATAATTCCAACAGGCAGGATTTAGTAAAAAGAACCTTCAACTGGGGGGAAAGATAGTTTGCTGCTGAAAGATAATGCCAAGATGGTCACTGTGGAAACTGTGCTTGGGGACAGCCTGGAAGGGGAGGCCACGCAAGGCTGAGACTGGGACCCTAGGGGTGAGGGTGGGTGCTGCCCCAGTGGTGGGACTGTGGGGCAGTGGGACTGACGGGGAGCAGCAGCTGACTGCAGTGGCTGTCCCCAGGAGAAGCAATGTGGGAACCATCGTACACCAGCCCACCTGACCACCTGGAGAGCAGCGCCTGTCCCACCTGTCCCACTCTGGAGCCACCAGGCAGGGGAGCAGCACGATATGTGAGGCCCAGCACTGGGACTGGAAGCTAGCAAGGGAGGCCAGTGGGGTGCTAAGAGGAAATACCCTGGTGACTGGCGCAGCACCTCTGAGTGCCACTGGCATCCATGTGCCCTCTCTTCTGTACACAATAGAACAGAAAGGTGGGACTCCAGGGCAAGTGTCCTCTACAGCGGGACTCTCTCCCTCCAGCACAGTCCCAGGGGTTGTCATTGCTGTTCCTCATTTAGTGACTTCTTATCTGATGCTGTAATGTGTGTTCTTTGTTACCTGACCACAGAATCTCTTTTTTTGTTTTGTGGTTTTTGGCCGGGGCTGTGTTTGAACCCACCATCTCCGGCATATGGGGCTGGTGCCTTACTCCTTTGAGCCACAGGCGCCGCCCGACCACAGAATCTCTTTAGCTTAGTGGTTAGCTAATGACTAAACAGAGATTTCCTTAGACGCCGGGGACAGTCTTCCAGCCCTGGCTGAGGCTCTGCATGCACTGGGACATGTGTGGGGCACTCAGCTGGGGCAGCTGGTCACAGTGCCTTAGCTTTCTCTTCCTCTCTGGGACAGGTGGGGGTGAGAACTTGGGGCCTCTGGGCTTTCCTGAGCAAATGGGCCCTTCTGGGCCATCTAAGTTCCAGGGATAAGGTTGGAACTTTACAGAACCTCCTGAGGGCATCTCCTTCTCTCCTCTTCCTCCTACTTACCTGGCTTGGTGCCCCCACTGTGTTCCTTGACCTCAGGGGCTGTGACCTACCCAGGCTGCTCTTTATTCCCTGCCTGAGGATAGTCGCACACGTTTATCTTTGCTTCCTGGTCACACTTATCACCTCTGCAGAAACATTCCCTTTAAATCACTGGGACCAGACTTTCTTAATTCTGTATGCAAAGAAGAAAGCCAACTACTAGGAGAAATAGATTATTGCATGTCGTCACCTGTTGGTCTCCAAGTTCTGTATCCCAACTGACACTAAAGTCACCTCTGCTTTCCTTCACCAGTGCTTTTGTCCCTGCCTGCTAGATCCCGTCATTCTCTGTGCCCAGCCGGCTTCCTGCAACCCAGCTCTTGCGGTCGGGTCGAGAGGCAGGCCACAAGCCCAGGGGGACGAGGTCGCCTCCTGCAGCCTGCTGATGCTGGCAGTGCTATGGGGGCTACCAAGCCCTGTTGCTGGCATTTTGTTTTGTTTTGTTTTTGACAGAGCCTCACTCTGTCCTCTAGGTAGAGTGCTATGGTGTCATAGCTCACAGCAGCCTCAAACTTCTCAGCTCAAGCAGTCCTCTTACCTTAGCCACTAAGTAGCTGGGCCTACAGGCACCAATCACAATGCCTGGACTATTTTTCTGTTTTTAGTAGAGACAGAGTCTTGCTCTTGCTCAGGCTGGTCTCAAACACCTAAAAAGCAATCCACCTGCCTCGGGCTCCCACCTCACTCACATTTTGACCTCTTCCCGGTAGTATCCAAAGCTTTGCCCCAATACGCCGGAATATAGTGCTCTGGAACAGACTCAGCCTTCTTCATCCTTTGGGGAGGGAGGAGGACCTGGTAGCTCAATACTTCTGGACTTAGCTGAGTGTGTGAAATTCTTGAAATGAATGAGATCATGTTTATAAATGGGTGATTTTCCATTTCGTTTAGTTTACTTTTGTTTCTGCTTAATGCTTGTAACCAATAGAAGCAGGTACTGATGAAGATGACTTCTGAAAGAAGAAGATGACTAACAAAGTGGGTTAATGTGAAAGAGAGAATCCAGGATCTAAAAAAGGCCATCTATAGGGGGAGCGCCTGTGGCTCACTGTGTAAGGTGCTGGCCCCATATACCAAGGGTGGGGGTTCAAACCCAGCCCCAGCCAAACTGCAACAAAAAACTAACTGGGCATTGTGGCGGGCTCCTGTAGTCCCAGCTACTTGGGAGACTGAGGCAAGAGAATCGCCTAAGCCCAGGAGTTGGAGGTTGCTGTGAACTGTAATGCCATGGCACTCTACCCCGGGCAACAAAGTGAGACTCTGTCTCTAAAAAAAAAAAAGCCATCTGTATCATTAAAAATGTTAATTAATTTGCAGTATATTTAATTCTGTGCCTTTGGAAACTGATTTCTAAAATGAATATTAATTATAACTGTAGTACTCTGGGAGGTCGAAGTAGGTGGATCGCTTGAGCTCAGGAGTTGGAGAGCAGCCTGAGCAAGAGTTAGACCCCTTCTCTACTAAAAATAAAAAAACTACCTGGGTGTGGTGGTGAGCATCTGTAGTCCCAGCTACTCAGGAGGCCGAGGCAGGAGGATCACTTGAGCCCAGGAATGTGAAATATCTCTCATTTTATACTCTGAGGGCTATTAGCACATGTGACATTTTTCAGGGAGCCACAACCCATACTCCTAGGATTCGAAGTCTGTTTACAATGAGCAGTCCTAGACATACCCGTTATATCCTGCTGAAAGCATTCCATAGATAAGGATTCTTCCGCTGACATATACCATGATTGTGTTTCCCAGGAGGTCTTTTGCTAGGGAGTTCACAGGAGATGTGATTGGGTCACTTTTCTTTTCTGTGGCAACCCTAGGTAAAGGCAGAGAATGAAGCACAGACTCCTCCTACTTCCCCACCCCCCACACACCTCCTGCCCTACCTCCAGAGCTCTGTCCTCAGGAGGCATGAAGAGGCAGTCATGGTCGGGGTCCTTTCCTGTAGCATCACTTGCAATAATAGCACCTAGAATAGTGCCTGGCAGTTAGTAGGCACTTAATAAATTTTTTTTGTATTAAAAACTGATTATTGGGCTCAGCGCCTGTGGCTCAAGCGGCTAAGGCGCCAGCCACATACACCTGAGCTGGCGGGTTCGAATCCAGCCTGGACCCGCCAAACAACAATGATGGCTGCAACCAAAAAATAGCCAGGCGTTAAGGCGGGCGCCTGTGGTCCCAGCTACTTGGGAGGCGAAGGCAGGAGACTCACTTGAGCCCAGGAGTTGGAGGCTGCTGTGAGCTGTGATGTCACGCACACTACCCAGGGGGACAGCTTGAGGCTCTGTCTCAAAAAAAAAACAAACTGATTATTGGCTCAGTGCTCGTAGCTCCGAGGCTGACGGGTTCGAGCCCTGCCCAGGCCTGCTAAACAGCAGTGACAACTGCAACCAAAAAATTGCTGGGCATTGTGGCGGGTGCCTGTAGTCCCTGCTACTTAAGAGGCTAAGGTAAGAAAATTGCTTAAGCCTAGGAGTTTGAAGTTGCTATAAGCTGTGACGCCATGGTACTCTACTGAGGGTGGCATAAAAGACTCTTGTCTCAAAAAAAAAAAATATAATTGATAATGGAGTAAAGAAAATCGTGGTATTTTCTTACTGTAGGATACATGCAGTCATTTAAAAGTAACATGAGTTTCAATGCTGCAGCAATGAAGCTTATCATAATAGTGTTTATACAATATAGGGGGCTGGTTCTCCTTGGAGGGAAAGTTTGGGTGAGCCATCTGAGGCTGGCTTGGGGGCTCCACCCACCTCGGGACCCTGGTGCCTTCTGTTGTGATGCGGTGCTCTCTGGGTGTGGCTTCCAGCTGGATGTTGAGAGAGGAGCCCTAGTTTCCC